AGAGGTTGAGTGTTCGCTTACGAGACCGATAGGTCTTGAGATTGAATCTCACGTTACGGTATCATCGATGTGCATTGCTGAGAAGGATGAAACGGCTGCCTAGTGCTTTCATGTTTTCTATGGTGATCTAGCTTCAATTAACTTATGTACTCAACAATTAAAATGACTAGAATATCCACACAAAAAACACCCTTCTGATACTAATCAACATATGCTCACTAGTAACTGACTTCAAGAGGTATTTCTTGGAGTTCAAGTGAGAAGCACTGACCATTGGAGATTAACCACGTCTGTTGTGTCATAGTAATTCACTGAACATAATAGTGGATGTGTCACTCAATTTCGTGGATTAATTGAAGTTAAACATTAACACTGTTGAATGCCGGGCCAGCTCATCGGTCTAGAGGGTTAAACGTTCGTGTGACAGACCGATAGATCTTGGGATTGAATCTCACGATGCAGGATCATGGATGTCCATTGCGGAGGAGGACGAAACGACTGTCCAGTGCTTCCACGTTTTTCATGGTGGTTTAGCTTTAGTCAACTCATGAATTCAACTATTAAGTTATTAAAATCTTCACAAAAACCCCTTCTGAAAATAATTTAGTCGAAGAGATTTTGTGAAGATTGATTTAATTATTTCGGTTATATTCATCACAGATTGATTTCATTTGGAGTATCATTAAAACAAGAAAGAATTAAATATTTTCTATTATACTAGTATGGAGCTCTTCTGAAATATACAAATTGATTAGAGTGTAAGATATGCTATTGAATACGAATCCAGCGATTATAATGGTTAGGCTTTCACTGTGAAGTATTGGATCTGTCTCTCAGTAGAGTTGTAAGTATAGACTGCTAGAGAGTTCAATACAGGGACAAAACAACAGTTCGATATTATTTTGTTTTCAGTGATACCTCAACTAAAATACAAATACAACTTACAAAAAGTGAAATACTTTCTATTATAGTGTTATTTGGATTTAAATAGTTATGGACAATTAAGTTTGCTTTATAAGCAAAGATGGATAGTGGCTAGCAGTGGAATCCAGGACGTGCGTTACCTCTTAATCGGGACTCGTCGGCTTTATGTACCTGAACCTCAGAGTTGATATCCCCTCTCGGACTCAACCTCAGTATCGTTCGCTTCAAACGCCATCGTGTTATTCAGTCAGCTACTAAGTCTTGATAGCAACGTGCTTGTGTAATGGGGTGAAGTTTAATTCACTTGGTATTGTTTGCTTTTATCTTCCACTGCTAGACACGATCCACCTTTGGTTATAAAGTTCGAGGCAATCATAGCACAATTATTTTAAAGTGAGATTACCAATGTTACGTAATAGGAAGTCTGTTTTTTCATAGATTACATATCAAACGATACTCACCAACAAAGTATATCTATTACGTTTAGAAGGAATTTATTTGAACCCAACTAATTCAACTCAGGATCGGTTGAAGTTAGACGTTAACACAGTTGGATGCCAGTCCACTGGTCTAGAGGTTAAGAGTTTGCATACGAGATCGAATGTCCTGGGTTCGAAACCCTTTGATTCGGGATCATGAATGCACACTGCTGAGGAGTCCCATACTAGGACGAAACGACTGTCCAGTGTTTCCAAGTACTCAATAGTGATCTAACTTAGATCGACTCATCAATTCAACTATTAAAATTAATACAATGTCTACAAACTCCCATTTTGATCATAAATTATTCACTGCCTACGACTGTATTCCTATTAGTTACATAATCAATGGAAGTTGTCGAAGAATAATACCAGTTAACCATTGAACTACATTATCATCGTTCTAGTTTAAATTCAGTGCGATCTGGATTTTATTTTATTTTTAAGAATTAAACTATTGAAAAGTATTCTGCACTTGTACTTTCTAAAGTCGGGCCATCTAAATGACCTTGATTCGAACATTTTCTATGAGTACCATCATATTGTAACACATAGATACAAGATCGATAGTTGATACATCTAACTGAAATAGACTTCATTAAATTAGTCAATAATAATTCATCGTGTATAAGAGAGGAAGGAGTGATTACTTTATATTTTGAACTAATAAAAAAAGGAAGGTAGTCGACTGAAAACTCTGTATGATATCAATATCTTCTTAATTGGTATTTATCACCATCCTTCATCTATTTGATGTTTCGTGTTGAATTCGAATTCATGTCATTCAGCAGCACTATACGAGATGTCACTACTGATCTATTTAGGTTAAAACTGACCTCGTGTAGGAAGGTTAGTCAGTCAGTCAGTAACAACGTAGAACTTCGTACGTACGTACATCAGTTCCAGTTGCCATACCACATTAGCACACAGATACAATTGTCGATTCAAATCCCATAGTGGTAGAGGTAGTAAAGGTGTAAGCTGTGATAGGAAAGATTAGGGTTTGAAGATGTTACTCAAGGAGTATAATCCAGTGAAATAAATTTGGAAAGAGAAAAAAGAAAGGGACATGAAGAATTCAGAAGACTAGAATTTTGGAGAACACACAGAGTGGATGCGCCAGTGCCATTGCAAATGATTTTGAGCATTTATTAATAACCGATTTGGTTCATCTAATCATTTATACATCTATGTTATACAAAAAATCTATAACTTCGTTGCATACTTACTTACTTACTTAATCACTGTCTTCCCTTAAACTATGAGATTAAAATTGCTTGGTACCTTTCTTTCTGTGAACTAATTATTGTATTAAATCCTTATACACAATCTTTCTTTTATATGTTACTATCATTGAAGTGACTAATTCTATAAACTTGGTGTTGATCTTGTTATGCTAATGAGGTGTGGCAACTTGGACCGATGTACATATGTGCCTGGTCCTACATTGTAGCTGACTGACTGACATAAGTTTCGTCCAATTTTCAATGTGAAAATAAGCTTGTTAGAAAACGACTTGTGTTGGAGAGATCCAAAAAATCCCTAGAAAAAAAAACAGACGAGGCTCTGAAAACACTGACAAGCGTGTTATCCAATCAGAGTTTAGCAGAAATTTTGACGAAAACATCTAGAAAGTGAAAAGTCGCATATCGAGTTTATGATCGGATGATTACCTACACTGCTACTATGTTTAGTAGCATTACAGAATTTTCCGGAAACCCAAGGACATCTAAAATACTATAAAAATCCTAAGTTTTCTGTACATTCACGAATCTTTTGAAGTAAAACAGTTTCTTCCATACTTCGCGTCTTTTCTCTCGTGTTCAAGTCGCTGTGTAGATCTAGCCTGGAGATTACCAGAATAACTTAAGAACCGAATCAAATGTTCAATTAAGAGACTTATCAATTTGTTAAATCAACTTAGTAAATATATATTTCATGTTAATTCAAGTGTTATAATATTTTAAAATGCACTACATATATACAATTGTAACTGTAACTTAGGAGAGTTTACTTACGAAACTAACTTTACAACTATAAAGTAATCCCAAGTCGCATTCAATATGAAACAGTATGCTAGACAAATGAAGACAAGAAATTAGTGTGTTCATTTGTTTGTTGCCCTTTGTTTCATGGAGTAAGTGATTGGAAAATCTGAGAGTCGAAGACATTCAATCCATCGTGGTTTAAGACAATACTTACGCCTGTTACTCCAAATGGAGCATAAGCCGCTGACCACCATTCTCCAACCCACTCTGACCTGGAACTTCATTTAGAAGTTCAAGACAATACAGTAATGAAATACACTAGTGACTTAGTATGAGAATGAAATCATTATTTTTGAAACTAATAGCTGTGAGTTCGATTACATTAAGTTGACATTCGACTTCACTTACAACTAATATCGATGATAAATATGTCGTTTTGTCTTTACTAATTCAACCGATTCTAAGGTTAGGAGAGAACTAGGTAAAGATGGGAAATAACGAATCTTCATCGACTGAAATATTCATTAGCTTTATCGCGAATGACTGATTCCCGTCCACATCGATGTGAAGATTTCGCAGCTGCAGAAACGGGTTTGGGGATAAAGCAGCAACTCATGAAGCCAGCGCCTATGCAACTGAAACATTTAGGTAGATGCAGATTACCTGGTTGACATCGGCATGACTATCGCGACGTTGAATGAAATGACTTAAAATAGATCTTAATGACGAAGACAGAATCACTTTTCTCCCTTAGATAGTAAACCTTAAAATTGCCTAATCACAGTGCATGTGCCCTATATTTTCTGTGAAGCTCTGGAAGAATTGAAAACCTTCACCTACCTGGGCAGGATCATTGATAAAAAAGAATCTGATGCAGACGTAAAGGCACGGACTAGCAAAGCAAGGGTAGCATCCCCACAATTGATGAATATTTGCAACTCAGAACAACTGTCAGCTATTCAAGTCAGGATTTTCAAAACGAACTTCAAGACAATTCTATTGAACGAAGCTAAAATTTCGATAAGTACTTGAACCATGATCAGAAAAGCACATGCATTTATAAACAACTGCTTATGCAAAATAATCAATGTCTGTTGGTTGGATACCATCAGTAATAGTAGTAGCCTCCGACCTAAAGGTCTGATCCACAAGGCAGTGGAACGACATCAGGAGATGCATTCTCATGGTAGGCGGTGACCAATGATTGTTTCATATGCCATTTGTTCCTTCAGGATACTGGAGCCCATGCGCACTCCTGTTTTGGAATCAAGTTTTTCCAACTCCCCTAAGTGTATCTTCCATAATTACCAACCCGGTTAAAGCACCGGATATTCACTTTTCGTTCTCTCAATTTCGTAAACATCCCCGCTGCGAGAAGGCAGTGAGCAGTACTTCCGTGGCATTTTTTGTATACGCACGGCATTTCGTGGAGAGTGGATCCACCCCACCCTCGACCGTACTAGAGCATTGGGGGGAGGGCACTGAATCGGCTAAACATTATTTCTCATAAAAAATTCAGCGAGGTACACACACGTTACTTACTAATAACAAGATGACCAACTAATCTGAATTCTAGGATTTTAATGTGAAAAAAAACAAAAGTCAATAAAAAGGGTAACAAATAGAATCTATGCATTTGTATATGAATATTTATGTATAGAGTATTAGTAATATTTTTTTTCAATGAATAATGTTAGTGAATAAAATGAAAATACAAACGCGTACACACACACACACACATCGTCGTACATTGAGGGAGGGTTTAAGGAACTCAGAAGAGGAGGAGTAAGTGTAGGAGGAGGAAAAACGTGAAAAAGCATGTCATAATTAGAAATGCAAGATGAATAAACATACAGATTTAATTATAGTACACCATAAATATGTATGTAAATAGAAATTACATACATATATCACTACGGTACAATAAAATAACGAGAGAGGAAGAAAAACACAGCAACAATTTAGATGAGGACTTATTATTATTTCAAGAAAAAGAAAATTCTCTAGAAAAAAACACAACAACAACAACAGATAAACTGTTACATCATTTTAATTTATATCCGGCGGTGAATGTAAACACACACACACACAGTCAATCTAAGAAGGCAAACGATTTTTTAAAAAAGAAGAAAGATATTGGGTAAATTTAACAAATGCCTAAACAGAATCAATCATTATCAATGACCCATCTCTGTAAATTACGCATAATAGACTGTTGTTTGGTTTTCTTAGAAAAAAAAGTGTTTTACATGTAGTAGTACATACACATCTATCTATCTATAGGTATGGAAACCAAATGTTTATTTCTCAATATTAAACAAACAACCCCCTCCTCATTAGCTGAAAATGATACATTGTATATGATGGATTTAAGATTATTTTAAGTAATGAATATTCATATAAGTAGTAAACTATTATAAGTAGTACAAGTAAAAGACACTAATGTCATGTTGTATTAGATTAAAATATGAAAAAACAAAGGCACAATTACTTTTTACCCCCTCTAATTACTCATATAAAAATACAGAAATGGGGATAATTCACACATACAAACAAACAATTTATTGGATACATCTAATGTATATATACACACACATATGTAAATGTAAGAGTATCGATGTAACAATATTGAGTGATATCAATGATTTGTAAATAGATCCTGACCAATATATCATGGATAACATCAACAGTATTGTATGATGAACAATAATACAATCGAAAAAGGCGGCCATTAACAAAACATTTTAATAACAAATATAAACTGACTGATAGATTACCACAGATTTATTTAAGAGGAGAAGATAGGAAATCGTATACACGATTTTGTGTACCAGCTAGTATGTGAGTGTGTGTTTGTGTATGTATGGATTAATGTATAAACAAAAGTGAGAATATAAGAAATGCCTTTTTTTCTTTCTTCAAGTGACAAAAAAAGTTGGGGGTGAGGAACGAAAATTTGCAACCATATCAAGATATCAATCAGATGAAACATACCTCTATAACACATAGTCATAGAAACACAATCTTACAAAAGATTCAATTAACGAGGTCATAGAAATCATGAAAAAGTACAAAGTTTCTAGACCAAATAGGGCAATTAACTAATGAAGAACCGGACAAGAGAATGAAACAAACAAACTGGTTATATAATATAAAATTTTAATGTAAAACATAAACATCATAGAATATTCAACCTTTCATCATTATTGAATATTCAATGAAATAAGTAGTCAAAAAATTATAATATAACCTCATAAATTGTTGCATAATGTTGGTAGACAAAATCATGATTATTGTGCATATTTTTTTCTAATACCATACCCAAACATTATTATTATTATTATTAGCTACCTTATAATAGATGGGTACGTCTTGTTCACAAACAAAATGATAATATACGAAGGGGAACGAGAGAGAGAGAGAGAGAGGGAGGGAGAGATAAGATCGGACTACAATCACATTATTATTATTATTATTACCAACATTATCTGAACAAAGAAGACAAAATACACAACTAACAAACACACACACACACACAACATCAATTCATGTGATTAAAAATAGAATAACAAATTGATAAGTAAACAAAACAAAACAAACAAAAAAAATAATAAAACTAAATTGAGAAAGGGAAAACAATCACACGAATAAAACAAAAAAAATTTACCGTAATTTATGTGTAAACGATCATTATAGGATATGCGTTAGAGAGAGAGAGAGAGAAAAAGTACACAGAAGAGTCAAAAGATCAACTTAAAAGAACAAACAAAATGACAAGGAAAATATTGGTTTGTTGTTGTTGTTCATGAACAGGTATAAGATGGCGGTGGAAGAGTGGAATTTAGGTGGGGGGTAGCGGTGGTGGTGGTAGGGAAGTTGGGCGCATTATTACAAATAACTATGTTTATTATCTATATTTCATTGATACAATGCATTGTTATCACTGAATGAGTTAAGAGTGTAAGAGATAGATAGATAGATAGACAATATATGTATATAAATAGATCAGGTGGAAATTTATTTCATCAAGTGTTCTTTCTTCTTTTTGCTTTTTGTTCTATGAGGCACTAACTGAATAATAACTGATATACATAAATGTAAAACATTATTGTGTTATTAATAAATATTGATGATGATCATGATGTAACAAAAAATAAAATAAAATAAAAACAACCAAAAAAAAACAAAGAAGTCACAAGCAATACCAAATGCTTTTGTCATTTTTTTTCTATGAATAATATCATAAATAATAATGCTAATTATTATAATAATACGTAACAAATTGAACACCCATTAACACAGAAAGGGTATAGAGACACACACACATACATACATACATACATACAGAAACATGTAAAGTGAATGATATATGCGAATATTTGTCAGTGGATTAATCGGCAGTGAGAGAATAGGGACCGGTCCTAGGGCTAATATCTTGATCACAAAAAAAGCATTACAATCTGGATTGTTAATATCAATATTTAACCATCGGAACTATGATTATTGACAGTTGTAACAACAGTATTAGCAGGAGTAGTAGCAGTAGTAGTAAGAGGAAGAGAAGAACTGACAGAAGAATTATTAATAGTTGTGGCATTTATTCCAATTAATAAATGATTTGATTCACTACTTGGTATATTATTATTATTATGGTTAGTGTTAAAATCACATCTCATCATATTGGATGATGACAATTGTGAAATGGAATGAATAGTAGCCGATGAAGTTGACTGAGATCCATCAGCATTTAAACCTTTCAAACGAGAAGCTAGTGACTAAAGGAATGAAGAAAAATATAAATAGATACAATAAATACAGAGAATATAAGAACATAAAGCTATATATATATATCGCGTTTAAGTAAAATTTGACCACGCCTAACAATTGAGTTTAAGACGCGTGTTTCATCCTGTTTGAAACTTATCAGCAAGACGTACCTGCATTCCAGTCTTGATAGTCGCATTGAGACAACTCAAGACTATATCGAGTTTCACACTGCTAGCTAAATCGTGTAACTACAGGTAACCATTGAAGCAATCCACTAATGATATATGCGGTACTTACATATGCCTGCTACCCTTCATGGAGGAGCATCAGCCGCTCACAAGAATTCTCCATTTAACTCTGTTCAGGGCAATCCTTTCCTGTTGTTATACATCCTTTTCATTACTGCCTCCTATTCCCGACGCAATATGTTCTTTGGTCTTCCTCTTTTCCACTTTCTTTCAGGATTCCAAGTTAGAGATGAAATTCGGTGATTTATTTAATATATATCCTATCCACTTCCACTGTCTTTTCCTAATTTCTTGTTCAGATGGAAGTTCGTTTGTTCTCTCCCACAGTATGCTGTTGCTGATTTTATCCGGCCAACGGACATTGAGTTTCTTACGTAGACAAATTTTTATAAATACTTGTACCGTTTTGATGATGGTTGCAGTAGTTCTCCACGTGTAAACATTCTATATTTGAATACGTTTAAACGAATAGTTGACATATATTTTATAAGCTAGAACTAACTTCTTTATTTTTCAAAGAACTGCCATTAACCTGATAATGTTTACTATTTTCCATAAACAAATTCCCATCGACCCCCCATATCTCATAAAGAAAAAAATGATCATTTAAAGAAGAATATACTAAGAGTTAACGGTAGATCCATAAAACAATGTTTGATGATTAAATTTTATTGTTCTTTATTGTATACAGAAAAAATGTAGCCCGTCAACAAGAGTTCATGTTAGTTTTAACTGATAAGAATAATTGTGATAACATGTACAGGACTATCTCTTTTCAATCACAAATTGAATATCAAGCTTTTCGGCATGGGTTTCATTTCGTTAGGAGGATAGTTGTTGAAACGTTGTATATGTTAGTAACTGTACAGTTGAGTTCGTAGTAGAACATTATTCTCTCGCAAACACAATCATAAGCATGACACAAATCTTATTCATCATAGAAAGTAAAATACATCACAATGAGAAACAGCGGAACTAAACCATCCGGAATGCTTTGAAAATAACAAAATGAAGATAGAAATTGTTGAGTAGATCCGTGATTTTCAAAACGGAATTATGGATAACCTGTTATCGATTATCATTCTTCTTGATGAAATTTCACCTTATGGCTAAATTTGGTGGTAATATAGTTGTAGATTGCCTACGGAATAATGGACCATTGAGTAACAGCATATTATATAGGTGCCATCAATAAATGATATACTGAATAGCTACGGAGTTCGGAGATGTGATTATTTGATAAGTATTAAGGTTAGGAGTATTAATGTAAAGGTAGTGTGACATTTACAATGATACAATCATTTCTAATCTTTATATCATTTGTAACTTAATACTTTTACGCAATGTCTATTTCATTCGCAGAAGTTGTATTCTCATTGGTCGGTCTTAAGGTCGCTATTGAAATAGATCAAGAGCATCAGCACAGTTGAGTTCTAATGTAAGAAACAAATTAGACATGTTAACACAATAACCACAAATCAATTTGTAAAGTACAAGGCTTGTATAACATGAGGACGGTATGGAAAGGAATTTTTAATTATATCCTTACAAACTGAAAACAACATGCCAAAATTAGTATACGAATCTATTAAAACTCGAAATGAATAAAAATAATCGAAATATAGTAATGATAAAGCGATTGCAAGAATAGTCAAATTTTATTATAAAGGCTAAAATCTCTTCAGAAACAGTAACCGCACAACCTTTGATTTTTGATTGTCATGTTCGTAAAATTGCTACATGCTTGAAGGTCATACATTCCGCTACCATAACAACAACGTTTGTACCGATTTCACTTGAGTTGCTTGTCATATCACAAATATCAAGTTACCTGCTATTCCGTCTTCTTCCTGTGTTAGCTGTCGAAGTTTGATGTGTTGAATATAATTGGCTGTTGTCAGTTAGAGTGGCTGAATCATTTTCGTTCCTAGAACTGTACTGGACCCTAATAATAGGACACAGCAATTGGCGACGGGAATGGCTGTTAAAAAGTGTTGCTGATAAGCTTAAACAACAGCTCAAACTGATTGATTTACTTACGTCTGTTACATCTCGTGGAGGACAAAAGGCTGTCAACTAGCACTCTACATCCAACTCTGTCCTATGCAATCCTTTCCAGTTGATATTCATCCTTTCGATTCCCGACACAATGTGTTCTTTGGTCTTCTTCATTTACGTTTCCTTTCAGGATTCCAATTTATCGCTTGCCACATGATGCAGTTTGTTGATTTCCACAACGTATGTCCTATCACACTGGATGAAATGTTACCTCATACCCAAATCACTCAGAACACATTACTATCAATATACCTATATGAATTTATGTTTGCTTTCTTATATAAACTATCCATTTATAAAAAGCTATTCTCTGATTGATTGGAAAGTAGGTGGAAATTCACTGGGGTTATTTTCAGCTTACCCCTTAACTATATCTACTACCATGGATCAACTTACTAACTTCAAGAAATTATCTTCACCCTCCTTCTCACCTTACGTATTTAACAAATGAAATATATACTATTGCAATAAACATCAGCATCGATACGTTTCTATTATATACACAAACTCGATGTAAACATGTCAAACAATGAAAGTATTTTGAAATAATGTGAATATACATAGACATATGTGTACATATTGTAAAATTGTTGAAAATACAATGCATAGATCACATAATTTTTATAAAAAATCAAATTACCTGAATTTCTTGCAAATGAAGTAGTGCTTCAGTTGGTGTAATTAATTTAATTGATCCATAACAACCAGTAGTCTGTTGTTGTCCATTATTATTATTACTATTACCACCTTCTAAAGTGTCATGAACAATAGACGCGTGTGTAGGATTATTCAATCCTAGCAGAACCCAACGTGCTGACATATTCGGATGAATTTCAAAATCAATATCATTATTATTACCATTACTACCAATAGAAGTGCTATTAGAAGAATTTCTATCACTGGATTCCACAGATCGAAGGATATGATTGTTTAATGCTGAGGACACAGTCATTTTTAACATTCCGACTGATATATGCGGTGGAATGTTATGCGCTAGAAGCCATGATTTACTCGATATAGAAATGGGAATCATAGGATGATAATCTATTCCACTGTTATGCATTTCGTCAATTTCACTAACACCAGCACCAAACGATTGTCGTCTTGTGTCATTCATTGAACTAGTGACATCATTCATCATATCTGACCATCTAGGATCACCAAGTGATGAGAGTTGAGATGATATAAATGGTGGTGGCAGTCTACTGCTACTATTGCCACTGACGCCACCAACAACTCCGCCATTGCCACCACCACTACTACTACCAGAGGGTGTCCAACGCCTGTCAGTTGCTAATGAATTACGACTATTTGAAAAATTTTCGTGTAATTGTGGACTAGAACCTGACCAAGGACTAGATTCCCATAATAAAGAATCTTTAAAAAGCAAAACAAAGAGAGAAAATAGACTAGTGCTCATCAAACTTGGGAGGGGAGAAACAAAAAATCCTCACATACCCAAGCAAATAAATAAGCAAATAGAAAGAAGGAACATTAAATACTATAACACTAATGGAAATACATGCACCAATTTAACAACAGCACAATAATTACGGTAAATTTGTTTATTGGCTTATATCATGAAATCACCTTAGACAACCACTGGAAACGAAAGATAAATCTAAATATATTTAGCAGTAATTATGCAACAGTTTAGCAGCTATAAATCTTACGATCCTAACGAGGGTAAGATATAAAATCTGTGGAGTTTAAGTGTGAAGGGTTTGAGGTGCTTAGACGACGATAGTGTGATAGGAAGGTTACGCAAGAATGTGAATTTCCTCAAACCAGAAATGCAAACCATCAGATATTAATTCAGTGACCTAAAGATTAAGAGCTTTCTGTGAAACTCAATATACTGAGTTTGATTACATACATGGTTAAAAGTAGGCATTCATTAGAAGTCATACAGCAGGATAAAACAGCTATTCAATTGAGATGGTGGAGAAGATATGTAGCTCAGGTGGATGATTTTGGTGGAGTTTTGTTCTCTGAGCTACAAATCTTCTCCACCATCTCAAAATCATATGAGCGTAATACGCTTCTCGTTGTTCGAAAATGGGAGAATTTCGCCAAAAGGCAGGCTTCTACTCGAGAACAACTATATTTTCTGCATGAGACACGACCAAACCATCCAGCTCAGAGAACAAAACTCCACCAAGAACAGCTATTCAATACTCTTCGTTTTCCAATAGTTTCCAAACTAATGTTTGTTCATCAAATATCGTCACAAATTAATAGGAACCTTATTCAATATTTGTATCAATTAAATGGTTGAAGGTGTTAATGTAGCAATGTGAAAATAACAACAGCTGATAAAAGACGAATTGTGCAAAACAAATGCCAATAAATATATTTGTCAAAATATCATTTATAACAATTTGTACAAGAATAAAACAACAGTTTATTATTTAGCTAAAACAATAGAATTTCAATCATTAGATGAACACATGTTTAGATCGTGTTTAACCTACTTTACTCCACGAAGCCAAATGGTTGTGGTATACCAGCCATAGGATTGATCAAACATTACTGGAGAACCCTAGTGACTTCACTGGCAGGAAGACTGTTATATTTCAAAGCACATTACCCCGCTACGTGAATATGTTTTCACGAGGGAATAGAAAACCTTCGGGTCTTAGTGTGTGGGCGTCATGACCACATGGGACTAGTACAAGTTATATGCACGTCGGTAACATAAGTTTTGCCTTACAGTCAGTCAGTCATCTACAACGTAGGACCAGGCACATATATATGCATCGGTCCAAGTTGCTACACCTTATTAGCATAACAAGATCAACACCAAATAATTCATAGAAGCAGGGAGAAAGAATTAGTTCATAGAAAGGTATAAGGCAGTTTTAATCTCACAGTTTAAGGGAAGACAAAAAGTGTGTACACCTACGCCATTTAGATCGATTCTGAGCCACATCACCCAAAGTCTTCAACTACTGGTTATAATAGTGGCGTGGACCCCAACTAAGTAATCTGTATCTACCAACATTGCTCAGAGTAGAAGATAGTGACTTCAAGGATTGATGCCACGTTTTGGTTTGGCCGCCACTAACTTCCTTCCAGTGTCCTACACTATCAGCATTACACAACGTGGTATTCAGTGATTGGGTATGCGTAATACATGGCCCAACCATTTCAGTGGATGTAGGTTCACAACATCAACTGATATGCCATCATTATCTAACACCTTGCGTCTCCTGCTTCGGTTTGGGCACCCAGTCAGTATCGCAGCCCTCACACATATCAAACGAGATCTGTGTGGCGCATATGTATTTGGTGCCTCCTTGTACCAATATCTATGTGTTAAATAAATAAATAACACCTTGCGTCTAACCTCACCCGGTGATCTCAGAAGATGAGGGCAATATTTCTAAGACATCCCGACCGTTACTACTATCTTGACGTAGTGGTCGGGTCTGCCTATAGTGATGAACCAATCAAGTTATACTGACTGAAATCGGGAAGTGGTAACTATACTCAGACTTCTGACAGCACTCAGGATCAATGAATATACAATAAGTATGCATGTTAACAAATCATTTAATAAGGGTGCTTCAGAACTAAGCCATGAATGCAAATGAATTTCATAATTTCGTCATTTATTAACCATTCAACAAGAATATCCTTGACGAAAACAAACACTAAAAATATGTGTCCGCCGAATCTTCAAAGTACACATTGAATTCAACCTCATAGCTTTCTTTTAACAAATTAATTAAATCGACTATTTCTATTATGATACAACTAAGAAAGAATAGTCATTTATGACAAAATAATTGTTACTATTACATAAATGCCGCTTTCACTTACTCATATTAAAATTTGATTGATCCTGTAGAAAATCAATATTTTCCGAACCATTACTATTATTACCGACTACAGAAATATTTAATGGTTGATTTGTTTTGCTACAACCACTAATCATACTGCCACTTTGTGTTGAAATAGGACACCATGATGATGATAATGCAGAGGTGGACGACACTGATGAACTATTATTGGTAGTCAATAAATTAAATCCACTACAATTAACTGGATTAGTTGTCCCTGTTAAACAATTAGGAATTATGTGTTGTACATTAGTAACCGTTTGACCAATAGTACCACCGCCAACAATCACACCACTACTTGTCAATAACGATGATGGTGTAACAGTGGTAATATTAGTAGTGTTTAAATTTTGAGATGGATTAGATAAATTCGATGAGGACATAGTAATCTGTCGTAGCATACCAGCTTGACTACGTACATGTTTTAATTGAGCCTGTTGAGCATCGATTTGTTGACCAACTTGAAATGCTTGTAACTGTAGTTCATGTATAACAGGATTTGTAGCAAATGGAACATTAGTTGCTGAACGTATATGTGAGAGTTTTTGATTTAAATCCTTTTAAAAAACAAAAATACGAAAGACATTTATGAGTTTGTCTTTGTTTCAGAAGTATCGAAAGATAAGATGTCACCGTGAGTCATTCACTCTTAAGCAACGTAAATTCTGGCATATATCTGCATCGGTCCAAGTTTCCATATTATATCAGTACAGTGAAATGAAATTATCAAGATGGATATCAAAATAATAAACGTGGTAAGTGGAGTGATTTTAACTTATTTTCAATTATGTTAGCCAACATTCCTAACCACTAGATACAATCATAGCGCAAACCCCAGTCAGACAGCCTGTACGTGACAAAATAAACCACGCCAGCAGTCATTCACTTCATAGACTGATACGTCGTATCTTCTAACTTACTCCCACATCGAAAAACAGCTTATCACTGTAGGTGGTGAGCGGGGACAGATAACACTTGTCCCAACCAACTCAGTCATGAAGATTCACTAATTTATTTGTCAGTTTTCCATTCTGAACCTAGTATTCTGCTTCTAAACTTAGTATTATTTACTGGATGATTCGAAGATACAAGACCAAGGCTTTGAAGTTCTTAAAGATCCTGATTAGAGTAATGATAAAAAAACTTAGGAATAAATTGAATTTAACCAAAATGACACTGTACAAACAAGGTAATCATAATTGATAGAAGTTTAAACTAAAAAGAAAATTATCAAACCACAGCAAGTGAAATCAACAAATATACAGTTGCAAATAATTTAAGCTTAGAGGAAAATGGGGGGGTACGTAATCTATGCCAGTGCGCTTGTGATTGTTCTCGAACTCCATACACCACTTAAAGTCACCAAAAATACAGGTCGTGTATACAATATTATATGCGAATTTAGATTGGCCTACACAAACCGATGTAATTGGAGATGGATTCGAGTCTGTGACCTAGTAGTAGTCAAAAATCGGATGATTTGACCATTAGACCATTGTTGCAAAATCCACAGTTTGTAAATATAATCTAATGTGTGAACAAGTAAATTTAAGTAACCTGAAGTAGTAAGTAATTAAAATTTTGTCAATTACAATACTTCTAAATTAAATAGGAAATATAAAAGAAAGATGAAATTTTGTGTTAGCGGGACATAGAATGGATTAACGCATGCTCAATGTACGTTCGCTTTGGTGCACGCTGATTGGATAATTCTTATTCAATTAGCGTTAGTCAATACTTGGTGAACACTCTAGAAATCTCCTCATGTGAGAAAAAAAACTATAAATATACTAACGTTTTCCCTATTGTGCTTCTTACTTCCATCTAACCTTGTTATTTGGAATATAATCTCTTTTCCTGTCCAATCGTGTTCTGATTTGGGGGAACTTGTCGAGTGAATCGATGTCCGAGAATAGTAAGCAATAGGAATAGCTGGGTTTTAAACCGTAAGAGAGAATGATAACATTTTGTAATGAAAATGACTCAATAAACTATGGTTTATGATATGATTATATGATTTATGACTTACTTGATGTTTTGAATGTAATTGTACAATGGTTTGAAGTATTTGTGTTTCACGTTGTTGCAATAATTGTAATGATAATTCTAAATTTTCTGTAGGTTGATTATTATTATTATTACTAACTGGTATATTGGATTTCATCATCTATGTATATGTAAAAAGAAAAAGTGAATATATTAAAATTAATAGGTAACTTGTAAAACTATCAACTATGATATCTTAGTAGATTAAATAAGTTGTTCGATAAGTATCCCCGACCGTTGTTGCTACCTTGACGTGGTGGTCGAGCTTGCCACGGATTCGAAAATCTCGCTTGGCTTTTGCCAACTTACGTCACCTATGGCCAAGGCGAGATATCCGTCTATCAGTTAAAGGACGAGTATACTGCGCGGCAGTCTGTTCTGTCTTAATTTACAGCAGCGAAACATGGCCATTAAGAGTAGAAGACACTCGTAAGCTATTAGTATTTGACCACAGATGCCTTAGAAATATTGCTGGCGTCTGCTGGGATCACCGGGTAAGTAATAGTGAGGTTAGACACTGGGTATGAGTTAATGATGGTAAATCAGTTGATGAGGTTGTTAATCCTCATCGACTGAGATGGTTTGACCACGTGTTACGTATGCCCGAACACCGATTACCACGACGTGCAATGCTAACGGGTGTTAGAGATGATTGGAAGAGAATTAGGGGCGGCCAAACCAAAACGTGGCATCAGTGCTTGAAGTCACTAACCTCCAGTGTGAGCCATGTTGGTAGATGCAGATTACTTGGTTGGGGTCCGCGTGACTTTCGTAACCAATGGTTGGAGACTCTTGGTGACATGGCTCAGAATCGATCACAATGGCGTCGGTGTATACACTCCCTGTCTTACCTTAAACTAAGAGATTAAACTCGCTTCATATCTTTCTTTCTACGAACTAATTCTTTCTTCCTGTACTGTATCCTTATATGCAATCTTTCTCCTATATATTACCACCTTTGACCTAACCACTCCTATGAATCCGGTGTTCATCTTGCTGTGCTAATGAGGTATGGCAACCTGGACCGATGCACATATGTGCCTGGTCCTACGTTGTAGCTGACTGACTAACTCAATAAATGTCTTATTCACTTATTGGCTACGTTATAAATTCGTGTATTATTTACCATTGAGTTACATCTTGTTAATCGGTTACAGAAATGTAAACAGATGAAGAAAGGTGAGAAGCAGAACTAGAGTGATTGAGAATTGAATGTCTAAACCACTGAGTTACAGTACAACTGAATAGTCAATAAGTAATGATGCGGTGTACTTATTGAATACAGGTACTTATAATGGACTTCAAGTTACAATTCATTCAATTTAAAATAGATTGGATTAACCCGTTGTTGATATTTTGATTGAATTTTCATCAATCTTAGTTAGACTATGTGTAGTCTATGAGGATTGCCTCGATATAGCCATAAAACAACTTAAACGTGGTTAGCGATGGAATCTGTGACGAAAATTTAGTCTAATTCAGGACTTGGTAGCTAAATGTACTAGAATTCCAGAGTTGACGTCCACTTCAGAGAACATGCAATCAAAACAAATAGCATTTTCCATGAGAATTAATTAAATCATTGTGATTGAAAACCATTCATCTGTAATGTAATTTTTTAGGTGTAAAATATTTGAATAGTTAATTAGATGTTGAGATTTAGTTCAAAGTCAATGACAAGAATAGTTGCAGATGGAAACAATTTGTATCTTAGCAGTAGTATGTTATTAAAAGTGTTGCATTCTCTGAACAAACAATTTATTTGTAAAGCTTTCCTCGTTATCTTCGACAATACCATCAAGTAGAAATACGTTTTTTTCTAAAAAAAAAAACAACTTTGTAATTGGTTGTAATAATGTCAGTCAGTCAGTAACAATATAGAACTTCGTATGTACGTACATCAGTCCGAGTTGCCATACCACATTAGTACAGAGATTCAGTGGTCGATTTATATCCCGCTTGGTTATCTTAGTATTTTTTTTTTACGATTAATCTGTTTAATTGATCTATGATCAGGTGATCCATTAACCTTTGCTATATAGATTGATAAAATTAGATCTAGGTGTAAGTCAAAACAACATCCATTCTGTTCAAAATTAATTTTTAATTAATAGTGTTGAATTTATAGTAATACACAATACTATTGGATTATTTGATCTATATAAAATAGAATGAAATGATTGTATTGTGTCATATTGAATGTTAATGGGTTCATCAAATAGACTCTAAGCTTTTGTGATTGATGGTTTTGAAAATGTTTTCCAATACATGATAGAACAACCCGATTTATAGACATGATTTTATGGTAAGTGTTAGTTTGTCAGTTTTTCTTTATGTTGAGAAAATTCCGTGGAGTAGGTACTTTTACTTTAAAAAAAAACGAAGTGAAGATAAATATCTTCGATTTTACGAGCAGGAATAGTGGGAATGATCATAAAGTTAAAAATCTGCTCGGAGGCGCTGATTAACTTATCGTCTAAAAGAACAATGATAAATTCGCAATTAAATTATTTCAGTTTAATGAAGGTAATACTACCAGAAGAGGTAAATAAAATGTACTGTAACATAGACAGATAGATAAACCTTATTACCTCATTTCCTCTCATTGCATTCATAGAACGATTGGGATTTGTACTTTGTCCAGGAAAATCTGACTGTTGTCTAACATCATTTGAATTAGGTGTAGGCAATAAATTGGACGTGATTGGTCTCAGTGCATTGATTAATTCATCAATGCCTGGATGGCCTGATCGATCACGTAAATCAACTAAAAGACGGTATAATTGATAAGCAATCGAAGTTTTCTTTTTCTTTTAGCAAAAATTATGTAATAAACTGATAATTTTTTCTCATTTTAAAATGATACTTGAATAAGAATATCACAATTCTATATGTCAGTTATGTGAAACAATAATAATGATAATAGTTGGAGATTAGATTATGTAATAGAATGTGAGAAAAGATCTGTTTTGAATTTATAACATGGATATATAAACAAAGGACTGACTTCACAGTTAAACAATAGAGTTGTTGTAAAAGTATGTTGGAAAAATTAGTACCGTTTTAATATAAGGGACATATTAGCAACCAACATCTTCAAGTCTCTTGTAGCGAGTAGGTTACCTTTAGATTGCTCTAAGTTGATATAAACTGTATCATAGTTCCACAATATTGATTTTACGTTCTTAAATAAATAGTCTATTTATATATTTGCTTATAATGTCTAAGAAATATGGCATCCAAAGATGCATCACACAAATGAATTGATATTGTGAAGAAATAAAAGAGAGATGCGGCGTATGATTGATAAACAAACAAATAAGGATAGTAATTAATATGTGATACAGTTCAGTCAGATATATACAAACAAGAAAAACGCTTCTCAGTTAATAGAGAATGTCTTTCAATTTCATAAGAGTGGAGACAAAAATCACTGAGGGAGTACCAACGGCTTCTATTCTGAGAGATGTCTAATGACGTGCCAATTCACTGGAGTTACACAAACCTTCTATAACTACAATCAAGAAGTAGTAATACACAAACAGATGTCATTTCTATACAGCTATCTTTAATATCGTGGCGTCAAGTCATACACTAACTATATTTGTATGATACAAGGATTCATTTTAGGTGTTGTTCTATTTTGTCGTAAAGCTTTGTAGTTGTTCCTGATAATTCCAAACGAATAAGTGAAATTTTCGATAACTTCAATCCTAGTAAAAGGTTATAATAGCTAGGTGCGGATACAAACATGACTATGAACCAATTAATCTGAAATAAAACTTACTCAATGCTCGTTCCACATTTGTATTTGTATCAGCGAATATAGGTTGTATTTCATCTTCAGTAAAACCCAAGTTAAAAAGTTGACGCATCACATGTGCACGAATCATACTCTGTTGTTGTAATTGATGTGAATGCTGTTGTGGACTCATAAACATACGTTGTGACATAGGTGTTGACGAAAAACCGGGAGTTATGGGTGGATAGAAGGCACTTTGAGGCGTTCTAAATGACTGGTTTACACCCCTAGCAGGAGTTAATGACGAAGGAAACTCTGAGGTACCAATCTGTTGCGAAACTCGAGGAGCTATGCTTTGAGTAGGTTGATTGAAAAATCCTCCAGCACTACTACTATCCATCCCAGATGCATTAGTTGACCAAGGTCCTGGAACAGTACCTGGGCGTCGTTGGTCTGTATGTGGCCATATGCCTTGCATATGTGTAGTTGTTGCACCAGGAGGCCATCTCATACCAGTAGAAGTCATATTAGGCAAAACATGGGGTGTTGGATGTTGTTGCTTACCAGGTAAACGGTTCATATTTTGTCCGGGCCACCGAGACTTATTACCAAAATTAATCCCAGGAACAGAAGGGTCAACTATAAATAAACCCAATAAAATTCAAAATTCAATAATGAACTATATCATTGTATTGACAGAAATGAAATGGAAAACAAAGTATCAATTCATACCGTATGGAAAATAAACCATAAGAGATTGTTCTGAAATGTCACATTAAGAACAGAAAAATAGCTCGAAAAAAATAAGGTCGTAATTTTATAAATTCCACAAATATCATGTATAGACTTCGCCAAAAGTTATCTCAGTTAAAAATTAATACTTAAATAATATACAGTTAGTGTTTATTCAGTAATTTGTTCCGCTAAGCTAACTGATGCATACTCAAATCACACCAACTATTACATTAGTTTTGAGAGTCTAAGTATACCGACCACAGCAACTGTTGTATAGGTCAACAATGAAATGAGATTAAACTGTTGGTTAAGTATCCAATTGTAAATACAGAGATGTTGATAAAAGTAAATGGTAGATTTTTAAAAAATGAATTTCAACTAAGAGATCTCTTTTCAATGAATTCATTATCATTCTACCAATTCACAGGTTGATTTTAAGGTTGTTTATACAATTCGTTCAAATATACCTAGATTTCTTCGTATCCAACTCCATAAAACAGAGAAAGCTCTTACCATCCATGAGCTCGAGCCAGAACTGAGAGTAAAAAAGAAGTAAGTAAAGTGTTCTAGCAATGTCAATGCAAAATTTTTTATAGTCTGTTCATAGTATATTTCTTGTTAAATAGATATATATAACCTAGAATAGATCTTACCTGTTGTATCGGCTTAGTCAGATTATAACGGTTAAGATGTATTGTAATATATATATAGGTCGATTGGAAAGAAAAAAATCTTGCTGGAGTATAACTACAATAAAATGTTACTTCTGATTAAAAACTACTTGAATTGATAATGTTATCTCATAGATAGAAACTAATAGACTAACTCTACAATTAGTTAAAATGAATTTATTTGTTCTTTATGACTAATAATAAACATGAAAATGAAAAATTTTACAAACCTGGTTGTGTTCCCGAGGTATAGGGCCAAGAAACTCCTGAACCAAGATTCACCGGATTAGCTATTGGGAAGCTTCTAGATGAAGCACCACCACTACCGGTTCCCGCTATATTACTATTAACAGGTCCTATTGGATGATTTCCACCGAAAATCGGTCTTGTTCCCAAATTCATAACACTTGAATTTGAAGGTGGTTGTCCTACAGGAAATATAGTCCCTGGAACTGCACGATTGATTCCACGAAAACTTTCAGTACTTGGTGGCAGTTGACCTTGTTGAGGTCGAGATCTAATAGTGGGATGTGAAATTTGATTAGAGGTGAAGTTAGGAGGGTTGATAAGTTGTGATAAAAATGGAGCCTGAGATGTTTGTGTAGAATTACCACTATTTTGATGCCATCGGGCAGTTCTCTCACCAAGACTCTCGTAATGGGACTCCCAAATCCCAGTACCGTTTGGAGGTTCGCTTGGCCAAACATTTGATTCCAGATCTCTGTTAAATGAAGAAGCTGTGGAGCTAAGACGCCTGGAATGTAAAGATGACTGAGAACCTGTCGGCTGGATAGTTGACACTCCACTAGATTGATTATGACCTGAAATTCGTGATGCAGCAGAAGTTTCACTCACAGGTGGAGATCCTGTAATCGGTCCAGAGGAATGTATTGGCAAGCAGTCACCATTTGCTTCAGAACAATTCCATGGTGTGCTTTGATCAACTGGATGAATACCCCATGGTTCAGTAGTATTAACCGCAGTGCGAATAGCTTCCTCGGCATCACATACCGAAGAGTCGATATCGGAACTAGACTTTTTTAAACTAGTTTGTCCAATATCAAATTCTGATAGCTTGTTACTACCTCGTGCATTATTGTTTATGTTAGAAGAAAGTGACTGATTTTCAATAAAATCAGAAGGATTGCCGAATCCACTGACGGAATTATTACTATTATTATTAATGTTTATACTTGATAAAGGAAAAGCCAATCCAGATCGATCGTCTGAATAAAGGGAAAAAAGAAAATAAATAGATTTTATCGAAATATATGAGATCTCTTATAAATGATAAAATAGCAAACATAGAATTCAGAGAGGGGTTTTCCATGGTGGTTTAGCTTCAATTAACTCATGAATTCAACTATTAAACATAGAATTACTTTGAATATAGATTTACAATTCATAAAACATACAAAAGAATAAACGATGAAGTTTTCACCAGAGAGACGAAGGTATATAATGCTCCAAAATAAATAAAAGATGTAGGATATAACTTAACTACGTTACACAGGTTTATATGATAGGCTGTGTGGTAAACTAATATAATAAAATGAAAAAAATAACTCATTTAAATTAAACCCATTTCTAAATTAGTGAAACGCAGAATAAAGGATCGATGCAATTTACATAAAATGATAGGTAGAAACAATTGGAGGCGTTTCATTCACTAAAAGGTGTCTTAATGTTTAAAATATTCAGCTTTTAACTGTCCCAGGTTCGAAATCCGCTTCACCAAATTCGGTTTGGGCAATAGATATTATCATAATTCTTCACACTGAGTGTGGTTTATGTCAAAGTACCTGATGAATGAGCCAGTTATGTAATTTACCCATCCACTGAAAGTAACTAGTATGTTTAAATTAGTCCAATCTGGTACACACCCATTATCATACTACAAATACTCATTTAATACGTATAGGTTTGTGCACTGGACTTCAAGCCATACTGCTTGTGTGAGTACTAACGATACTACTACTGAGCTGTCTGAAACCAAAATAGACAGATAAGATGACGTCAATGGTCAATGATCAATGCCTATACAATACAAGGTAAGGATGAATATCCTGTTGAACAGATATTGTGTTAGATCAACTAAGTTTCAATAATCGTAAAATAGTATGTCATGGATTGTTACATTTAAAAAAAGTCAGCCACGCATGAATTTAACCCAAAATAGTGTTAAGATTGTCATTATACTTTGCATACTGGGACATACTACTTATTTTCACCTTAGTCATATGATAAATCCTCTAACTGAACGCTTGATTCGGTTTCCTAAGCTTTTGTAGTAACCCCATGCTAGGTCTACACGACAAATTGAGCTCCAAGGTTAGTTTATTTACAGAAAATCTAGGGTTTTTATAGTATTTCAGATGGCATCGGGCTTCTGGAATGCCCTGAAACCCTTCGAAACATAGTAGCAGGATAAGTAATCATCCAATCAGAATGCTGCCATGCGACTTTTCACTTCCTAGACGTTTTTGAGAAACGTGCTGATTGGATAAGATGTTTCCAAGTGTTTTCAGTGCCCCTTTGGGCTTTTTTCGAGCAATTTTCCGGGTCTTCCAAGATTATAGTTTCCAGCGTCTATTATTACTCATGAAGTATCGAATTAGTATCAAGGTATTAGGAAAATCATATTTGTATAAATGTTAAGCTGCATAAACCAAGGACAAATATATGGATATATAAACATCATGATTCTTTCAACACTGAGAATAGACAATAAGATTTCACAATAAAATAATATCATACTACAGTGTATAGAAGCAGTAATAATGACGAAACCGATGTATTATACGCGCTGAAGTTTATGACACTGTTCAGAATTCAAAATGACATCGGTAGGTAATAATAATTAAGACGTTCATCTGTTGGTATCCTTGGTCGGATTTTGTAAATGATGTCAAGGGATGAGTCCGTATAGCTTGTATTTACTACATACTGCATAATAGATGAGGTAATTAACATTCCTTGTTTAATATTAACCTACACTGGTAGATGAACCTAATTACAGCGAAGTGGGTTTGATGAACAACCTACAAGTCGAGCAGGAAATCTTTAGTATAATCTACTATAATCGCACTCTTGTACGCCACTACATGGAAAATAAGTTGCCATGAATGACCATTTCAATGTACATATAACAGTTTACTTGCTCCCATGGAATTAGTTCATACAGATCATTGAGGCCACTTCTTTGTAGCATTTGGAGACATCTACCGACACGGATAAGCAATCGACAATATGTATCAATCACTTCATCTATTCTGAACCATGCAGTAATAACAAGTCGAAATTTAATAATGAATTCAAAGTGTTAGTAAAACGTCATAGTAACAAATGCACAATCCAAGATGTTAAGTTTTGAAAAGGTAGGACAAAAAAACACACATACCATTTAACAAATCTTGTTCATTATTCAATGTTGTCCAATGCTGCATATAACGACGAGAACGATCTGAATTCAATGTGTCCGACGGTGTGTTTGCTAAGGTTACATTATTTAATTGTTGACCAGTAATTGCTCGAGGCGCAGTAATAGAACAGTTATTATTTGGATTATCGAAAGACCATGGATTAAGAACTTGTATATGATTATTACTGATAGGAAATGTATTAGGCGAACCTAATAGAGAGCTGACATTTGAAGTTGTTTGACCTGAAAAAGGTGTGGTTGCCCACTATGCAAAAAAGTATGTGTTGGAATAAGTGAAATACTTAATAAGTTTAGTAAGAAAAAGTAGTGACTCTAAAAAATATGTTTTCTGGAATACTGAAGAAGATCGCTCAGTCCTAGTTTATGGGTGTAAGAATAGAGGTGTTAGGTCTCCTACTTTAATCTAGCATTGCTCTATTATCTAGTATTCCACAGACGCTACTCCACTCGACTGGTCCCCGAATGGAATCACAGTTTGGGTAGGAACGTAATAACATTCCAAACAAAACAGCAAGTCAACTAGGTTCATACAGTAAGAAAATATCGGTATATTTATAATTTTTATACTGGAAGTCTCTGGTAATCCACTAGCGTTAACTGGTTGGACGTTGACTAATCAGTATGTTATCTGAATCAAGTTTTACTTGTATCTCTGTCCTGTTAACAAGGGATTATTCGTAGGTTGTTAGTACGAGATCATACATATCTTGGAAGCATCAATTTTGTGTTTTGGGACCACCAAGTGAGTAATGCTAAGGTTAGGCATGGAGTATGGCCCAAGCACCACCTACCATGACGAGAGGTTTGGTGAAGAAATATGTTGGAAAAAGAAATTAAAGCTCTAAATGTGACATTAGTTCATGGATTAATTGACAAGTGGATTAAGATACCCCTGTTATTACATACAGGATATCTGGTTGGGGTACAAATGATTATCATGACTAGTGGTAGTAGAATTTTGGTGATATAGCTTAGAATGGTACGCAACGCCGCAGATGCATTTACACCTTGTCTTCCCTTAGAACATGAGCCTTGAAGTCATCACATACTTTTTTCTCCTTTTTCTAGTATTATTATTATTATTATTATTATTATTATTATTATTATTATTATTATTATTATTATTTGAGCACACAGATATTCGTACAAGGAGGCACCAAATACATATGCGCCACACAAATCTCATTTGATATGTGTGATGGATGTGATATTGACTGGGTTCCCAAACCCAAGCAGGTCGTTTTCTTAGGGGGCCACACTCCGAGCCTTCGACCTAAAGGTCTGATCCACAAAACGGTAGAGCATCGTAAAGAGATGCACTCCCATGGTACCAGGTGACGAACGATTGGTTTATACGCTATTTGTTTCTTCAGGATACTGGAGCTAGCCCATGTGCATTATTGGTTTGGAATGAGGGTTTTCCAACTCACCTAGGTGGACTCTCTATGTCCACCAACCCGGTTAAAACACCGGATATTCGCTTTTCCTCCTCTCAATTTCGTAAACAACACCCCCGCCACGAGGAGGCAGTGAGTAGGACTTCCCTGGCAGAGGCTATATACGCGTGGCCATGTAAGAGCGTTTCGAGTGGGTGAGAGGACTCTACCCACTCTCGGCCGCATCAGGGCATTTAGGGACAAACAGGAACTATAACTATTACTGAAGCGGTCACTACTAGTACTACTACACTGAGATTAGCTTTGATGACACTATCTCGTTGTGCTGTGGTGTTATAACTTGAACCGAAGCACATATGTGCCAGATTATATGTTGAATGAATATAACTGACTGGAAATCATGACAATCAAACCTTGATATTAGAGAAAAAGGAAAATATAAGCTACAAATATTAACCATCTATGCAAACAAAACCTACATAAATGTGAAAAATACCATAAAGTATATGATAATCATCGAACCATTAGCTAAATGATTAAAGTGTTAGACCTTTAGTTACTATATCCCAAGTTCAACACAATCTCTATCAATGCCGCTTTAAACAACCGAATAGCACTACTAGCCTGTACAGACTTAGAGTATAATTTAAAGCCAAGTAAAAGAATCTGCATCTACACAAATGAGTTAGTAGTGAATATCATCAAATTGATTATTTTTTTGTTGTTGCTGCCTATATCATTCCTCAATTAAGAACAATGAGCTCTTTTTTTTGTGTATAGAATTAATTGAAAAATATCACATCTTCAAGAAAATAACACAATGTCAACATCGAATTAAATTCTATTAAATCCAATGATCAGAAATACACGGATTAATGTACATTATTTTGAATGACATTTTTTTAGATATAAAAAGTGATGAGTTCAAATTACTCTATTTAAAAAGAAAAAAAAATTACAGCTTATCACAAATGATGAGTCTCCAAAGTGAAATTAAATGAATATTAGTACATTCATAATCCAAAACTGGCCTAAATACATAAAGACTGATAATCAATTTAAAACACTAGAACTTCATATGAAACATTTTTACAAAACTATTAGTTTACCAGTGAAAGTAAAACGAATGGTTTAAGTACCAAAGTAACCGACAAGAATATTTATATAAAATAAATGGAATACAGCTAACAATGGAATATAGGACGTGAGTTTCATACCATTTGGGACTAGTCAGATGGATGTATCTGCATCACAGAGTTGATGTTCACCAAATGCAGTTTTTTAAAACTTGACTTCAAAGTTACAATATACTCAAATTGAAATGGACTGGACTATCCCGTTGTTGATAATTTGATTGAAATTTCGTCGATCTTGATTGGTATATGTCCATTATACGGATTGCCTCGATATACACATTATAACACGTTTACATAGAACAGATGCACCAAGTAGCTATGGTGGGTAATGCGTTGGCGTTTTAAGCGGAAGGTACTGGGCTCGAGCCCAGGAATGGATATCAACTCCGGGATGCAGATACATCCAATTGGCGAGTCCTAAATAGGATGAAACACGCGTCCTGGATTCCACCGTTAATCACGTTCCATCTATTTCATCTCAAATTTTGTCATAATGGCTATATCAAGGCAACCCCCAAAGGACTAACATATGCCAACCGAGATTGAAGAAAGTTCTGTCAAAACATCAACCACAACGCGATAATCGAAAAACTACTACAAATTAGACAATAAGATTCATCAAATCGACTTAAATTTACATCATTAATACCTGGTTATCAGTTGTAGTTGATTCCTGAGGTAAAAATTCTCCGCCTACCTCGCCTACTCCACCACCAACAGCATTACGATCAGAATTTCGGCTTGAGTCGAAAATTGCAGGAAGAGGCCACATCTGACCAACGCCACCACCTGTAGTAATAGTAGTATCGGAATTTTTCGGATTATTATCATAGGACATCAAAGAGTGAATTGTTGGAATTTTATTAATTGTATCTAATTTACAGAAATGAAATAAATAAATCATTACCCATTTTACAGATAAATTAGAATACCTTCAATTTGACCACGTCCTTGTATTAAATCTACAGCATCATTTCTAGTTGTAGACCATGGAATATTTGAAGGCGTTGAAAATGTTGGATAAGAATTAACAGTACCACCAGTGCCAATACCAGGTTTACCTAGAATGAGAATTAGATTTTTAATTTTTACATTGGATTAATATTGTCAATGTTATAAAAAATAATTCTATCATAATTAGATTAAAATAATTAATTAATTAATTAACTGATATGTATGCTAACTGAACGCATAATACTACCTTTATAGCCGCTTTCTCTAATCCCAGACTACATCCACACTTCACCAATTCAAATAAGGAAACGTGAGAAAGAGCTTTACTCCAAGATGAGAAACATTTTCTATGTCAAGCTGTTATGTAGCCGCTAGTCTGATTGACTCAGTATTTTGTGCATTATGTTGAGGTACGATATCGTGAACGGCCACTACTCAGTTACATCATATTATTGTGATTCCTTGATCAATCCGAATTCTACTCATCGATTTAGACAGTCGGAAAACTCGTCTTTCCAATCACTGAACCCCCCTCCCATAACAGTTTCGTTCTGGTCCTACAACAGGCTAGTTGTGGTTTCAATAGCTCAGTGGTAATATATCAGACTGTGAAACGGAGTGACAAGTCAAGATGCCACAGAGTCCATTAAGCCGCCCAGAATCACAATTCCACCTTGATAACGAGTGGAAACCAGTACAAAACCTAGTTCCGAGGTTTCCTTCAATCACCTGACACTGGTTCATTCTATACATATTTTTATTGTTGTAACAAGTAGATTGGAAGAAAATAATGTAGCACTCGATCTAAGCATACTAACAGGAAATAAAGACGATAGAAGACACAAAAAAGAAAATGGATATAAAAGCAAGATACAAATGTCATGGATATCTGACAATTTGAACTGATAATTTCTGCCAGATTCTATTCTACATTATGTCTATTTCTTGGAATTAATTGTTTATTTAGGAAATTTCGATTCCGCATTTTCCCACCAAATATATCCAAGATAAACTGTTATCTATTCTTATTTCATAATACGACTGTCCGCTTGTTGGTTTACTAAACTTTAGATAAGCTGATTTATTACTTTCATTGCAAAAAAACAGTACATGCATGTATTATGCAAAAGGCACACGCCTAATTCAATTTACCTTTAGTATAGTTTATAAATTTACATTTCAATGTCGTATTGTCTCCAACATTCAGGGTTAGCTCAATTAGCTAATCAGCAATATAGGAGAGAAAAGTGACGTTAATTTATCAGGTCATATTAGAGGGATAAAAAATGATTAAATAATGTACATTATGAAGAGTAGATGTGTAGTATACAAAGGAGTACTGAAAACATGTATAATATCAACCACAAATGAAGTAGTATTATTTTTAGAAAATAGACACCACAAGAAACCCAGGTTAAGATGATGACAACAAACCAGTAGTACAAAAAACGAGTAAATTAATGAAGTGGACAGAAAGACATCAAAATAAAAAAGGACATAAGTTCAAGTAAAAGGGGAAGATAGATGAAAAGAAGAAAGGCTTTTTAGGATCTAAGGAGAAAGGATCACGAAAGTCTTATCATTGAAATCGGTTTTTATCTGTACCATTTGAAGTTCCCAAGCATTCAATAGCTATTGTTAATTTTAACTGGGAAGCTAGTGATCACTAACACTAGACGATTGTGTCAAATCTTGATTTGAACGTCTTTGTCAACTAAATATTAAGTTTGTAAGGGGTAACGCAGTGAATAGGCCAGTGTATGCATATGTATAATGCGTATTCTAAATACTTCAGTCAATGGGGATTTAGTGACTGAATTTTTCTTCATCAAATACTCCATGATTAACTTTACCTGTATTATACCCTGTATTATACATATAGTTAGTTTAGTCACATTGTACTAACTTGGACCAACGTATATTTGTGCCAGGCTCTACAATGGTGATGACTGACTGATGCCCACTCGCAATGACAATTATTTCCATAGTTTGGTTAAGAACAGAAGTATCAACTGAAATTTTTCAGAGAAGCATGAACAAAGAACATATTGCGTAACAGAAAATCTTAAATGTGAACGTAATAGGACTTAATACAAAGATTATGCAACTGTTACCGAATCGCATATATATAAATATATATTAAACAAACTGGAAATTAAGCAGTAGCAGAGAGGTACTAGGTGTAACTCATAACTTTTGTTAGTGTGAATTCTAAGAGTTGAATACATACACGCTAAATATGAGTAGCAGCGCCACCATTTTAAACCAATAAAACACTGAGACTGAAGGTTACACCAACTTTTGCATTGCAAATTAACGGCAGATACGAAAATAATAGAACAGGATGGAACAAAACAACTAATAGATAGCTACTTACCGGGAGTTCTGTTCCATGGTGTGTTATTACTGTTATTATTATTACTGATACCAGTGGTAGTATTCGTGACTTGAGACATCAGGTGAAAATTGACTGAGCCCGACAGAAAGGCATCTGTAATAAACAAGAATGAATATAATTTAGAAACAGATTTCAGGCACAGACGGTCAGAAATTAAGACTGGCCAACTTGACTTACAACAGTTCAAACCAGTACAGGAAAATTACATTCAGAAGAAAAATGATGGTGATAATTATGTTTTCTAGACCTCACCAAGTACAGGTTTAGGTACTCAAAATAAAGCCATACTGTTTATGAAAATGCTAGTAATACTAGACGGCTTCATTTTGTTTATCTGCTGTTCTAATATTGATATTTTATTTATTTATCATAACATATATTGGTACAAGGAAGCATAAAAATATATATGTGCCACACAATAACAATGGTGCTGTGAAGAGACAGAGAATGTAAATTGTGTGTAAGAAGAACAACAATGAACAGAAATTAGTGTATGAGAGAAAATAATAATAATGATAATAGTAATAATAATTGGAGAAACAGTTCAGTTAGAAAAAATAACCAGAATTTATGCTCACTTTTATTTATTACTTATTTAAACACATAAACATTGGTACAAAGAGGCACCAAATAGATATGCGCCACATAAATCATTCGATTTGTGAGTACTGGGATACTGCCCGGGTGCCCAAACCGAAACAGGTGGTTTTCTTAGTGGCCACACCCGGAACCTTCGACCTAAAGGTCTGATCCACAAGGCAGTGGAGCATCGTAAGAAGATGCAGTCTAATGGTAGCCGGTGACCAACGATTGGTTCATACGCCATTTGTTCCCGCAGGATACTGGAGCCCATGTGCACCATTGGTTTGGAATCCGGTTGAATCGTCGGACATTCGCATTTCGTCCTCTCGATTTCGTAAACAACACCCCCGCCACGAGGAGGCAGTGAGTAGGACTTCCCTAACAGAGGCTGTATACGCGTGGCCGTATGAGAGCATTTCGAGGAGGAAAGTGGACTCTCCCTACTCTCGGCCGTACCAGGGCATTTGAGGGCCACTTTTTTGAAGAAAGTAAAAGAAAGCTGTAACAGGATTACCACTGGCTCCTATTCTGAGCCATCTGCTAACGTCCTAAACCACTGAGGTGCACCATCTCTAGAACCCCAACCAGGGAATCGTGAAGTACCAACAGAAGACATCCTGTACACCTTCGTTTCATACCACGACACCATGCCAAACATTGACCACATCTCCAAATCTGACCAGTTCCAGATTCGGCAAATAATGCACGACGTGAAATTCTCTGGGACGACATTCGTAGAACATGTCCAAGCCACCGAAGTCGGTGTTTCAAGACAGTAACACCAATTGAATTATCATCTCTGTGCCCGAACACACGATGCCGAACATCTGCATTACCAACATGGCGTTGCCACTGGATGTCAGCAATCCTTCGAACACAACGATGATCGAACACAGAGAGTCGTCTAACATCCTCAACTCGGAGAGGCCAGGTCCCACAAGCATAGAGCAAAACTGCTCTCACCGACGCGTTGTAGATTCGACTTTTTACAGCCAGACTGATATCACGAATGCGCCAAAGATGGCCCAGATTGGCATAAGCCACTCTGGTTTTCACTATACGTGCATTGATCTCATCACTCACACCCCCACCAGCACTTACGGAGCTAACCAGATACACGAACTTCACGATTACTTTTATATGATCACTACCCAGGCTGAGTGTAGGATCAGGGTCCTGCCAGTTTTGTACAAGTACATTGTACTTCGAAGGTGCGAAGTACACATAAAAAGAAACCTCATAGGATACATCTTTAGGTGCACCAGCATGAGAAAACAACAAAAAGAATCCAACGTTGACAGAAATACAGTTACATAAAGTATAAAACATGGGAAAAGTAAATACACAATAAGTTGAATAACGAATAAAAACAGATACCATGTGAATTGATACCCATAAACGATCTTTTCCTTCGACTTTTGTCAACCAAAAATACATTTATGATAAATGGATCACGTACAATATATATACAATATAAATAACCTTGAATTTATCAACGAAATTAAAACGATTTACATAATAAAGGGTTATTTATGTAAGCAAAAAAATGAATATATGAAGCATAAATAAACTGTGATCCATTGACTGAAAAACAATTTTCGTGAACCACGTGTTCAACAATAATTGTTTGATGAAAATAAAAAGATATTGGGAATCTTAACTAGAAGAATGAATCTAATGATATAAAATAGGAAGTGTGTGATTAGTTGGAAGTACAGAATTGTCTAATTACCCGTTTATATAACCAAACATCATTAACCGGCTTAGTTTAAATTAAGGTCTTAGATGTTAAATAGCGAGTGTGGTTCAGTGCTTATCCGGGGACCCTGTGGCATCTTCGTCTGGTCTCGCTGGCGTTGGTGTCGCACTAAGCGCTAGAGCTGAGGCAGCACTGGTCGATTGAATCCCGATTAACAGTCGGTTATGTGCTGTTAGATTAGAAAGTTCCATCAAAGTGAGAAGAAATCGGCGTGAGAAACGATGTCTCTTCGTCATCTCCGCCTATGCCCCGACAGATTGCAGCCCGGATGCAACCAAGGATGAGTTTTACCACCAGTTATCAGTTCTTCTCCAGAAAGTGCGTTCGACAGATATTGTAGTACTAGCCGGAGACTTGAATGCTCAGGTCGGGCGTGTAGGCACAGAAGAGAGTCGTTTAGGTGGCCGATGGGGACTCGTTGGTCGCAGGGCAGATAACGGGGACCGTCTACTGCAACTGTGCACAGACCACCTGTTTCTGGCTAGCACTAACTTTCGGCACAGTCATCGCCGATGTGCCACCTGGCGTCATCCCTCTGCATCTCAAGCCTGGACTCAGATTGATCACATCGCGATCAGCTACCGCTGGCGTGTTTGTGTACAAGACTGCTGCTCTTTTTGGAGTACCTATCTGGACTCTGACCATGCCTTGGTCTGCGCCAATCTTGCCTTACTTTTCAGTGGACAACGAAGTGACCGCCATCAACGGATTGATATTAGCAATCTGGTTGCAACTTCTGTTGCAAGTAAGTATCGAACCGAGCTAGCCTCTAGGCTAGCTACCACTCCACAGAAAAGTATAGATGAGCATTGGTTGCAATTGCATGACGCCATGAAAATGGCGGGTACAGTCAGTTGTGGGTTCGCGAAACGTCCCGCTTATAAGCACTGGGTTTCTGCAGGTTCCTTACAACTTATTGAAGCCCGTCGGTCTACTATGGGTGACCGTGAGTTTGACCATAAACGAAGGATGTTACGTAAGGAAATTGGGCAAAGCTTGCGTAAGGACCCAGAAGCCTGGTGGTCGAAGCGTGCTAACGAGCTGGAAGCAGCAGCTGCATCTGGTAACTACCGGAAGCTCTTCCAACTCATCCGAGCCACTGGCAGCAAGAAGTCTGGTGTGAGTGAAACAATCTGCGAGGATGATGGGATGCCAATCACTAACATCCATCGACGTCTTGGACGATGGGCAGAATTTTTCGAAGGGCAGTTCAACTGGCCTGCTGCTCCGGCAACATCGGTCAGACTGTCCTGCCTTCCATGGCCGGTGACGACTGATCCACCAACCGAGGAGGAAGTCCGCAAGGAACTCCAACTCTTGTAGCGTTACAAATCACCTGGCCCAGATGACTTACCTCCGGCTCTTTTTAAAGATGGTGGTGACTTTCTGATTAAGGAATTGACGACGTTGTTTACAAAGGTTTGGGAACTAGAGAGTGTGCCAACGTCATGGAATGAGTCGATAGTTGTCCCTATCTTTAAAAAGGGTTCACGTCGTTCCTGTAACAACAATCGGGAGATAAGTCTACTTCCGGTTGCGTCCAAGCTATTGGCTTCCGTCATACTTCGTAGGTTGTTCAAAACCCCAGAAAGATTGACTCGCGAGGAGCAGGCTGGGTTTCGTTCTGGTCGAGGATGTATTGATCATATCTTCACCCCCCGCCAAATGTTAGAACACCGCCATACTTATCAAAGGCCAACAATCGTAGTGTTTCTTGACATCAGGGCTGCCTTCGATTCGTTGGACAGGACTGTTCTCTGGGATTGTCTATTGAAGAAGGGTGTGCCTGAGAAGTTTATTAACATCCTAAAAGCCCTATATAAAAACACCTCAGGCAGAGTGAGGGCATACAACCACCTTTCTCCATTGTTCCATTCGAGCAGTGGGGTTAGGCAGGGTTGCCCAATCTCACCATTCCTCTTCAACTTTGCCATCGATGACATTCTGGAAACAGCTCTGATGAATGTAAGTAATGGTGGTGTGGATCTGTTGCCTGGAGAAAAACCTCTCGACCTTGAGTATGCGGACGATATTGTCTTACTGTGCGATAATGCCCAAGGCATGCAATCCGCACTTAATCAGTTGACAATCAGTGTCCGTAGGTATGGTATGTGCTTTGCACCTTTGAAGTGCAA